TTGGATTTGGCAAAACAAACTATTGGAGTCACAATCTTCTCAAAACATACCTCATATATTTTCATATCATCCCACATATCCACAATTCTTCATTCCAGTGTATGATAAGTTCAATATTTATGATTCTATCGTATAACAATCAACTTTTTCATGATTTCATGTATATACTATTTTTATAGCCATAAATAAACTAAAACTGACTTTTAATTAAAAAAAAATTTTGAAGAGCAAATTGTAAATTTTGAAAGAAAAAATTAAATGACCCGATTACCCAGGTAAGTTTGCCGCCGCTGCCTCTGACGATGGATCTTCTCCGTCTTGGCTCATCCAACCAGATTTGAGCCGCTCGTCTCCACCTCTTGAAACTTCACCACCATCGTTTTTCTTCCTCCGCCCTTTTGATTTGTTGGTGAGTCCCTCTTCTATACCTCTCAGAACTTATACCTTGAATCTATGGCTACATCTCCGGTCCTCGCTCTCTCGCCATGGAGTCCGGTGAATCTATCCACGTCATCTTCTTTCTCCGGCTTCCACATCCGGAGTTTTACATCTCCGGCGTCACCAAATCCTCCCAAACCTCCAGTGCCCCCAGATCCGCCGCCTGCTCTGCCGTCATGGATCTCTGGCTCGCCGGATCTAGGCTATGCTCCTCAACTTTGTATAATCAAAGCTCCTCGTCTCCCATCAACACCAAAGCTTGTGTCTCCGGATCTCGAGATCTCCTCAAGCAAAACTCCTTCAGCAATAAGCAATGTTCTATATTCTCCAAGCTACACCCCTCCAACGACTCGACCCAACGGCACAGTGGCCCTCATGGTTGCTCCGGTAGTCACATCTTCGATAAAAGCTTCTTCAACGACAACAAAAGGAACACAATTGTTGGTACACTCCTATTACATCTTCAATATCATAGAGAGTACTCTTGCACTTGTTTGCTTCCCTTGCAAGGAGATTTACACTCCCCAACATTCTTCCTCTATGGAGAAACTCATATCCTCCTCAATGGAAAAACCTTCCTCCTTTAAGGAGAGACCCATATCCTCATCAATGGAAAAACCCTCCTTTTTTAATGAGAGACCCACATAAAGATATCATTCACCAATCTCCTCCTCTATGGAGTGTCTTTTACAAAGCTCTACCTCGGTGACCATAGTGCTAAACGTGCGAGCAACAATTGACCACGACGTGGTTTTGGGAATCAAGAAGGCTGTCATCTCAGTCTCGACAATGACTTCAGACCGAAATGTATTTTCGGATTTGTGGAATCGTGTCTCCCTACTTATCTCAAAGGCTGCTAGTAAATGTAACTCCTTTGTTTCTATCCTAGTTCTACCTAGTCCATGTTTTAACAATGTTGCTACTCTTCAATTTGAATTTTCTGCCTTGATGGCTTGTACTAACTATATCCTCTTTTGATTTATAAAATCAATACATTTTTCATTAACTTAAACTTGCCTCATACAAAAAAAAGGAATTAAGCATCCTCTTAAATTTTCACAACATAAATTAAACGTCATAAAACTAAGAACAAATAAATCATCGCGAAAGATGGACAGCGGATCCAATGCATGTATCAAATGCGTCAAGAGGGTCTTCGCGACAAAGCCGGAGAGTCTCAAATTGGTCACTTTCCAAAGTGACGTTGAAGTCGAACTTATACCTTCGGTAGTCATCGAAACGAATCCGGCTGCAGTAGGTAAATTCTTAAAGGTTCCCAGCACATAGCTTGGGAATACAACCGCTCTCAAAGAGGCGGAAGAAGATACGAACACTCTCGGAGAGAGAGGAAGATACGACCATTCTCAAAGTGATGGAAGAAGGTGAAATTGATCTCTTCCAAAGAGATAAAATTACAGGAATTGAGAATCCAAAAAATTTTGATATTCTCTCAACATAGGAGATATCGAGCTCGCAAATTACAGAATTTGAGAATCCAGAAAACTTTGATACTCTCTCAATAGAGAAAGTACATGATTCAAAAAATTTCCTTACCAAAGCCATCTTTTTTGTCTTCACCCCAATAAACATAACATAGTAATAAGAACGTGACTTGGGCTTGAGATTCATGAAGAATGAGCATAGGGAAATTGGAATTGATCTCTTCCCACAAGGGGAGAACAATTTACAGTTTCTTCTGGTAAAATCAGCAACATATTCGGATGGAGGGACATGGGCTTCTTGTGCCCAATGCAAGTCCATGCAGAGGTCCACCAAACCAATAGAATTTTTTAAGCCCAAATCACTTAGGTTGAAGCATACATGAGATTTCACGCAAGTGATAGGGTCAGCGAAGAAGAAACCGATGAAGGCCGGCAACCTGATTTCTGGTTGTCAAGGTTCCTTGCGACGGAGGAACATCTCCTTAGAGGTGATAAAAACTTTCCCCGGATCTATCAAAACGGTTAGAGGTGACACATCTATAGAGGATTCGATGGTGGTCGGGATTCGATGAGCAAGCGGAGGGTCACACCAGTTCGGCGGGTCCAGAGGGTCCGGCGGATCCGGAGGTTTAGCTTGAGACATCACCGGTGGTAGCAGGTCTAGCCACGGTGAGAGCGAGCTTATACCATCAGGTGGTTCCGATAGCATGAAAACTACCGACAGAAACGATCTAGTGACTGACGACATGATACAGCGGCAAGGGATCTCGTCGGAGAATCTGTAACCTACAGAAAGAGGTCACGGCAAAGCTTCAGATTGACTGGGCTTTACTCGGGGGGGGGGGGGAACTTCAACGGCGGAGGGGAAACAATGTCGTTGCTTCAAAGGAGGAGAGACGCGGCGGACGAGCGGAGACGAAGACCCATTTCGGTGCTTGCTTGAGCTTCCAACGGCGCCTCGAGCTGTGTGCCCGGCAGAAAAAGCAAACTTATTCGATTTCTATTTTGAAAAAAAAACAAATTGTTTATATCATAATATTTAATATAAGCCAGTTTTATTTATTTTACAATGTATTTGTTTCTATATCTAACTCCACTTTAATTAGTTTTCAAATTCATTTCATTTGATTTCTAAATCCTCCTCACTTGATTCTAAAATCCATTCGATTGATTCTTAAATCCAAATTGAAATCAGATCATTCTATATAGATTTCCAAATCCATTAAATTTCATGAACCAATAAACCCCCCTAAATATATTAGATTTTAAACCTTTTTAATAAAGATATTTTAAATACAATGAACCAAAAAAGTAGATTTAAATATAGTATTTCAAATTAACTATTTAATAAAAGTGTTTTTTTAATTTAAACTATATAACCATTAAAGAATCTATAAACTCTTTTCATAAAAGATATTTTAAATACAATGAACCAAAAACATTAAATTTAAATATAGTATTTAAATATAGTATTCCAAATCAACTATTAAATAAAAGTGGTTTTTTTGGATTTAAGCTCTATTACCATTAAAACTATAAATACTATACACTTGTCGTCTTTAGTTTCATATTACTTCAAAAAATATTGTAGATCCAAAATATGAATCATCTCATAGTTTTTATGTTGGCTATTGTTTTGTGTTTTGGTTTGTCGAAAGAACTTTGCCCTTTTAATATTTTAGAAGTGCAAAATGACCTTGATTCTCATACTATTCTTAAAGTCAATTGTTCATCCAATACAGGCGTTTTCCCCGAGGCCAAAGATGTATCATTCAATGATTCATACATAGTTCGCTTTAGAGAGGATTTAGTCGCCCGTCCTCGACTAGTATGGCGTTGTACTTTAAGGCAAGGTGAGATAATAAAGTATTTTATTACCATATGGAGAGCATACAGAGAAGCTATGCGTCCTCGATGTAATCACATACGAATATGGGTTGCCAAATTTGATGGAATTTACTTATTCAGTAATGTAGATGGGGAAGTTGAACCAAAGGGACGCCAATTTGTTTGGGAAACATTTAAAAATAATTAAATATAAGGCCATTTGTTATCTATGTATATTTTATCAATATATGTATGTTGTTGGGGTTAGTTTTCACCCTACTGAGATCAATAGCTAAAATAACTTATTATAACAATTGGACATAGCCAAATATCTCAGACCAAACTATGATATGAGTTGTTGGGGTTAAACCTCGAATTTGATCAAAAAGATTATATATGTGGAAAAAAGAGAGGATACTTACATGCGGGCACTTGTTAGTCCACTGAAATGACAAATTC